ACGTGCGGGCAGCGGGGCACAGCTCCCCCGCGTCCTGGCAGGAGATGCTCCGCGTGCAGGGCACGCGGTCGCTTGTGCTTTGCTCGAGCGTGTGCGTTCGCGCACACGTGTTCAGCCTGTGTGTGGGAGCTGGGGCACGCGCTGCACGCACCCGTGGGTGCTCCGGCTCTTCCAGCACCTGGTGCACCGTGGGCGGCTGCACTTAAGGCCATGCTGGCCTGGCGCAGGGGAGGTTTGGGAAGGGGCTGCTGGAGGCGGGGGGGGTTGTTGGCCGGGGCCGAGGTGTGCAGTGCCGCAGCGTCCCGCTGCCGTTCGGTCCGGCTGCCGCTAGATGGAAACGCAGCTTCGTGCCAGAGGCCGCGACAGAGCCTTGCTCCGGGTGTTACGGACCGGGCGCTACGGCCCCAGGCACGCCGCAGCCTGGGGTCACGGCACTTACCCTGCCCGGGCTGGGATGCTCTGCCCCGGGGTGGGGATGCCCTGCCCGGGGTGGGACCCATCACCGGCCCATGGCACCAGGCAAACAAATTTCTGGGCTGCTGGAAACAGCCCTGCTGGCCCGGGAGCCCAGGCGGGACCCGCCGCGGTCGGGGGGTCGGGCACAGCCCCTCGTGCACAGCGCGGCACACCCGGAGGGGTCCGGCCCTCCCAGAGGGAGGATGCTCCGGGGGCTCCGGGCTCCCTCCTCCTGCTTGTTGGCAGCAGCACGCAGGCGGGCAGTGGAGGCGATCAGCATGCCGGGCACGTGTGGGGAGCCTTGGCTCGCTGCCGCCCCACGGATGCTCTCAAAGGGGCTTTATGTGCGCAGAAGCTCCGGGGCTTGGCCGGTGCCCGGCCCCCCCACCCCGTGGCTGGAATCCCCCGGGGGCGACCCTTTTGGGGGTGCTCCTCGTGCCGGGGCTCAGCTCTTTGCAGCGGGGTGGGCCTGGAGTGGGAGGCAGGCGGACCCTCACCCCGGGCAGGGTTCGGACGCTGCCCCGGGGCGCTGGGCACAGCTGGTCCCATGGGCTCCATCTGCAACATCTCCTGCCCGCACGGCGTCTCCTGCCTGGCGTCTCCTGCCTGCCCACCCCCAAAGCGCCAGGGGGCTGCAAGCCCCCGGCTTGGGGACCGGACAGAGCTCCGGGGCACCAAGCTTGTCCCCAGCAGGGGTGACACACATGTCCCCAGTGGTTCCCAGCTTTGCCGGCTGCTGGCGCCTGGGTTTGGCGTCGGGAGGGTGAGATCGCTGCCCCAGGGACCGTAATGGGGGGCTCGGCAGTGTCCATGCCCACCCTCCCCGTGCAGCACCCCGTTACCCGCACACCCTGCGCCGTGTGAGACACCAGCTGATGCCACACGCTCTGCAAGGGGCATTATTTTGCAAATCCACTTGTTTGGGGGCTTTTAACTCCCATTACAGGATTAACAGAGGTTACCGGCCCTGGCAGAGCTGCTGAGGCGGTAACGGGTGCTGCTGGAAAAGGGGAGCTGGTGGGTTTGTCACAGGGGGGTGGGGACGCCTGCCATGCCGCCGCGGTGGTCTGGAGCCAGCCCCGGCTCAGCCCCTCCGGAGCCGCCGGGAAGGGAGATGTGGGGGTCTCTGGGGATCGTCACCCGTCCCCAGTTCAGAGCAGAGCAGTCTGCAGAGCTCCTGGGCATTGTCACTGAACTTGGGGACAGACACTGTCCCAGGTAATGAGGAGGCAGGGGAGGGACCCCAGAGGTTGTGGTGGCTGTGGCAGCACGCTGTGGGGTGATGCACACGGGGGTGTGCAGGGTGCTTGGGGTACAGGGTGGGGGGGGTGTGCAAGGTGCATGGGGGTGCCCGGGGTGCACAGGGGATGCTCCCTGCCTGCGGAGCATTGCAATAAATCTCCGCGCAGCTGGGATGGAGCAGAGGTGCTCTTCCCCTGCTCCCATCTGGCACCCTGGCCCCCCGGCTGGGTGGGTGCAGTGTGCGGCCGGCAGCACCCCCAGCAGCACCCCCAGCTGCTGATGGGAGGGACGGAGGGTTTCCATGCTGTGCCTCGCTGCTCCCGCCCGGAGCAGCAGAGCTGAGGGCCAGGTGGTGGAAATAATCCCCCGGCCTCAGAGGTCCCGGTGAAATGTCTCCGGGGCGCGCGTCACCCCGGGGCTGCCAGCGGCCTGGCAGGGCGGCGGGACTGCGAGTGTGCAAGGCGGCAGCACTGCCTGCAGCCCTGCCTGCGCTGCCAGGCAGGCAGCTCTGCGCCAGGGCAGGGCTGCAGCCTGCCGGCGGCGGCCGGCTTGCACACTCCAGTTTGTTCTCGCTGGTTTGCACCCCCCGCAACTTGCTGTCACTGGTTTGCACGCTCCAGTTTGCTCTCAGTGGCTTGCACACTCCGCTTTGCTCTCTCTGTTTTGCACACTCCGCTTTGCACACTCCTTTGCTCTCTCTCTGCTTTGCACACTCCGCTTTGCACACTCCAGTTGGCTCTCTCTGCTTTGCACACTCCGCTTTGCACACTCTGCTTTGCTCTCTCTGCTTTGCACACTCCGCTTTGCACACTCTGCTTTGCTCTCACTGTTTGCACACTCCGCTTTGCACACTCTGCTTTGCTCTCACTGTTTGCACACTCCGCTTTGCACACTCTGCTTTGCTCTCTCTGCTTTGCACACTCCGCTTTGCACGCTCCGCTTTGCTCTCTCTGGTTTGCACACTCCACTTTGCTCCCACTGGTTTGCACACTCCGCTTTGCTGTCAGGTTTGCTCTCTGGTTTGCACACTCCGGTTTGCTCTGGCTGCCGCGTGAGCGCCGGGCCCTTCCCTTGGCAGGCAGACGCCGCAGGACGGGGGCGCGGGCAGAGCCGGGGCGCAGGCAGAGCTGCCTCCCCGCCGGGCTGGCGGGTGCTCCAGCAGAGCCGGGCTGGGGGCGCGGGGCTCCTGGCACCCACCCCGGGGATGCTCCTGCCCCGCAGCCGGGCGCTGGTCCTGTGCAGGGAGCGTCAGGGCCGGCCACATTTGCCAGCCATGGATGCAGCAGGCAGGAGCTGCCTGCACAAGCAACGCGGGGGCAGGAGGTGCAGCCCCACCGCGTCCCGTCCCTCGGAGCTGGGCTCGCTGCCTCCTGCCCCGGCAGCCCCATTTCAGTCCCCGGCCTGGCCCTGCACAGCTCCGGGCTCTGCCTGTGCTCCCAGCTGCTCCTGGGTGCAGGCAGGGAGCTCAAGACCCAGAGGATGGCGTGCTCCTGCCCTCATCCCTTGCACCACCCTGCCCTTGTCCCTTGCTGGTTCCCTTCCCTGGGCATTGCTGGGAGCAGAGCTGGGTGCCATGGAGCAGAGCTGGGTGCCAGGGAGCAGAGCTGGGGGCTCATGGAGCAGAGCTGGGTACCAGGGGGTAGAGCTGGGTGCCAGGGGGCAGAGCTGGGTTGCCCATGGAACAGAGCTGGGTGCCAGGGTGCAGAGCTGGGTGCCATGGAGCAGAGCTGGGGGCTCGTGGAGCAGAGCTGGGTTGCCCATGGAGCAGAGCTGGGTGCCAGGGAGCAGAGCTGGAGGCTCATGGAGCAGACCTGGGTGCCGTGGAGCAGAGCTGGGTGCCCAGGGTGCAGAGCTGGGTGCCAGGGAGGATAGCAGGGGGGACCCTGCCTGCCACACCCCGGGCTGGGGTGGCTTTTGGCCGGGCATATGCCTGGCACACGTCCACCCACCCGGTCAAACTCCGTCGTATCCAGACATTCATTTTATTGCTTGATGAAGCTTGGAGCAGCCGAGATGAAGCTGAGCATTTGGGGGCGAGGGCGGTGGCTGGGCGGGCAGGTGTGGGGTGGGGAAGGGTGCATGGCCAGATCCTGCCCACTGCTGAGGGTGCAGAGGGCTGACATCCCTCCCCGCCGGGCGCCCGCAGGTGGAGGTGGAGGTGGAGAGCATGGACAAGGCGGGGAACTTCATCGGCTGGCTGCACATCGAGGGCCTCAACCTGTCGGTGGCTCTGGTGGAGCACGCCCTCTCCAAGGTCCACTTCACCGCCGAGCGCAGCCCCTACTACAAGGCGCTGCTGGCTGCTGAGGAGGCCGCCAAGCAGAAGAAGGAGAAGGTGAGCGTGGGGCAGGACCGTCCCCGAGGGATGTCCCCACCCCGAGGGATGTCCTCACCCCGAGGGATGTCCCCATGCCAAGAGATGTCCTCCCACCCTGAGAGATGTCCCCATGCCAAGAGATGTCCCCACCCCGAGGGATGTCCTCACCCCGAGGGATGTCCCCATGCCAAGAGAGTCCCCCCACCCCGAGGGATGTCCCCACCCCAAGGGATGTCCTCACCCCAAGGGATGTCCCCATGCCAAGAGATGTCCCCCCACCCCGAGGGATGTCCCCACCCCGAGGGATGTCCTCACCCCGAGGGATGTCCCCACCCCAAGGCGCGTGGGATCCAGGGTGCCGGGGACCAGGGATGCTCTGGCTGCTGAGTACCGGCACAGCCGTCATCCCCGCTCCGGTCCTGGCCGCTTGCCAGTGGCATCAAACATGGCCACGGGGTCCTCTGGCCAATGTGTCCCCACCTCGATCCCAGGTGTGGTCCCACTACGAGGAGACCCCGGTGGAGGAGGTGGTGCCGGTGCTGGAGGAGAAGGAGCGCACGGCCAACTACAAGCCCGTCTTCGTGACGGAGATCACGGACGATCTCCACTTCTACGTGCAGGACGTGGAGACGGGTAAGGGGACGTGGCTGGGGTCCCACCGCTCTCTTCTCCCCACCACCACCACCCCCCCACAGCCCTGCAATGTCATTTGGCTGCTTTAAGGGACACGGATGGGGATGGGGGGGGCTCATCCCTGGACCCCCGGCCTGGCACGGCACCGGCTCCGAATTCCCCCCCCCCACCTCCCACCCGTGCCCTTGCCACCGCGCTACCTGCCTGGGTCCCCCC